CCCTCACTGGAGAACACCACGGGGCTGACTGTACGACCCAACACACTCGCCTGTTGCACAGAAGACTGTGCTGTGGGTTCTTACGACTTACAGCACTTGGGGCCTGTGGGTGCGCTTAGTAGTGAGTCTTTGCTTCGCACCTGGTGAGTCCATTTTGCCGAATGGAGGAAGGTGTTAATGTTCTAGGTAGGTACATGGCCCGTGTAGGGCTCGTTTAAGTTAAGCTACTTTATAAAGTTTGTTTTTATGGGCTCATGTGGAAATCATAGGGGGTCCTCATTCTGGCAGTAATTAACAGTGTCTGGAGGATTAGTTTTTTGCAAAATAATTTTCAAGATTAGGATTTAATTGTGTTACGTGTTTAATCTGAGGTATTCTGTTCTTCTGCAGATGCATTATGTTCAAGACAAATTATTTGTGGGTCTAGAGCATGCTGTGCCCACATTTAATGTCAAGGAGAAAGTAGAAGGTCCAGGCTGCTCCTATTTGCAGCACATTCAGATTGAAACGGGTGCCAAAGTCTTCCTCAGAGGCAAAGGTTCAGGTTGCATTGAGCCAGCATCTGGCCGAGAAGCTTTTGAACCTATGTATATTTACATTAGGTATGTATGGATGGCTGGGGCTGAAGACATTTGAGTGCTTGTCAGCTGCTCAGTACAGGCAGGAGTGATTCAAAAGGAGTAAGAAAATAGGTTTGAGAAGTAGTAACATGAGGAATGTAGGTCAGTGCTAACAGTAATCACTTTAAATTTCTTATTTACTTATTTGACAGAGGGAGATAGCACAAGCAGGGGGAGCCAGGAGGGAGAGGGAGAAGCAGGTTTCCCGCTGAGCAGGGAGCCCGACGTGGGGCTCTATCCCAGGACCCTGGAATCATGACCTGAGCCAAAGGCAGACGCTTAACCGACTGAGCCACCCAGGCGCCCCCAGTAATCACTTAATAGTGAATAAGAACTGTTGAATTAGGAGGTGGAATTGTCTTTTAGTGTTCAGGTTCTTGGGTTTTATACAGATCTGTGACCCTGAAATGTGAACTGTGATGAGCCTAAAGTCATCTTCACCTAAAGCTATGGTGATATTAATGCATTTTACAGTTATTTTGGTGACTTAAATGTTCTTTAATACCTATGTATCAAAGAGACCAGTAAAGTACTTGTTTTAATGGTACTAGTTATGGGTTAAGGGGCTTATAAGACGTTATTTTGTGATTTTCAGAAGCTTAGATCGGTGCTATGTTGAATATGTTAAATTTGTATACAGCATACGAAGTGAAAACAAAATTCTGTGTCCTTTACTCTTCTCCTCTTTGATTTTTTGGTTCTTGTTTCTTTGCAGTCATCCCAAACCAGAAGGCCTGGCCGCTGCCAAGAAACTCTGTGAGAATCTCTTGCAAACAGTGAGTTATATTTGTGTGTCTGATGCTCCGAAGAGCCACTGCTATTTGGGCCGTGTCTTGGCTGTTTTCCCGGCTGTATTGGTTTCCTAGGGCTACCATATCAAAATTCCCTCACACTAGGTGACTTAAAACAACAGAAATTTATTTTCTCATGTTCAGGAAGCCAGACAGACATTCAGAATCAAAGTGTGGGCAGGATTGGTTCCTTCTGAACGAACGCTGTGCGGGAGGATGCTCCATGCCTCTCCCGGCTTACCGGCCTTTGCCTTCTGCCCCCAAACAGCAGGGCTCCATCCTCTGCCCCGTTGTCTCCTGGCCTACTCCTGTGTCTCGTCTGCCTGTCTCTTGTAAGGGTAGCAGTTCTTGGATTTAGGGCCCACCATGACCCAGAAGGACTTCATGTTAGCAGACTGTATCTGCAAAGACCTGGTTTCCAAATAAGGTCATGTTCTGTGGTTCTGGGCAGACGTGAATTTTGGAAGCACTACACCATTCTAGCAACTCACATTCTCCATAAGGAAGACAAACGTCCCTAGCCAGGGTCATAGCCAGCATGCAGTTCTTCTTTAGGAACTATTTCAGTGTGGAATTTTGAAATCTGTAGTACATCAGTATAAAATCTCCATGTTGTCAGTTATTTAAATAGTACTTGCAATCTTGGCCCAGTTATTTACCGGTGGGCATTCCAAATTTTTCTCAATAGTAAGTTTAGCTAAAGTAAGTGTAGAGCTATATTGGTTTAAAACCAATTAACCATGCCCTTGGGCTAATCGCTTGTTTGATTATCTCTTCTTTTTACTCGGTAATCTAGTAACCAAATGTTAAACCGGTAGAGGGCCATTTGTAGAGCCCTTGATGGCGATCGGATTTGGGGGTTGCATGTATTTAGCCTTGTGTTAGCTGGTATTTCAGGGTGCCCTTTTGGGAAGCTATGTTCTTTGCTTTTGTGAAGTAACCTGATTTACCACCCCCTGTCTTGTCTCTGTTGCCGCTTGAAGTTACTGATTCAGTGGGATTCTCATAATGAAGAACTGGATGGGGGGACATACTAACCCTGTGTTGAGCCCTGAGCTCCTTGAGAAGGCCGGTAAATAAAAGAGTGAATGAATTCTCAGCAGTTACACTGACAGTTTAGGGATTTCCTAACCTTATTTCTGGCTCTGAATGATTTTGTATCTCAGAATTGAGTCTAGTTTGGGGATTTAGGAAGCTCCTGATGTCCATGCTTCTGATTCCCACATCCTGGCTTCATAATTTATAGGGTGTGCCTTATTAAAGGTAATTGATTAATGGATTTTTTTTTTTTTTTTTAAGATTTTACTTATTTGTCAGAGGGAGAGAGAGCACAAGCAGGGGGAGTGGCAGGCAGAGGGAGAAGCAGGTCCCAGGCTGAGCAGGGAGCCCGATGCGGGGCTCGATCCCAGTACCCTGGGATCATGACCTTAGCCGAAGGTAGACTCTTCGCCAACTGAGCCACCCAGGTGCCCCAGATTTTTAAAAAGTATTTATTTTTAGAGAGGGAGGGAGGGGTAGAGGGAGAATCTCAAGTGGACCCGAGCTGACTGCGAACCTGATGCGGGGCTCGATCTCATGACCCTGAGACCACATCCCAAGCTGAGAACAGGAGTTGGACGGTCAACTGAGTATGTCACCCAGGCGCCCCTTGATTGATGGATTTTTTTTTTTTTAAGATTTTATCTTTAAGTAATCCCTACACCCAGTGTGGGACTTGAACTCATAACCCCAAGCTCAGGAGTTGGGGTTGTGAGTCAGTCTACTGACTGAGCCAGCAAGGCTCCCCACGCCTTATTAAAATTTAGATGAAACAAGTCTAAATTTGGTTGAAATGTCAATGGAAATTTTTTTTCTTTTTTAATCAGTGGAAATATTCTTTTTTTTTTAAAGATTTGTATTTATTTATTGAGAGAGAGAATGGTAGAGAGAGAGCATGAGAGGGAAGAAGGTCAGAGGGAGAAGCAGACCCCCTGCTGAGCAGGGAGCCCGCTACGGGACTCGATCCCGGGACTCCAGGATCATGACCTGAGCCGAAGGCAGTCGCTTAACCAACTGAGCCACCCAGGCGCCCTAATCAGTGGAAATATTCTTAATTCCTAGCTGCTTTGGTCCAAGAGCCATATAGTCAGACCCTTGCAAATACTCTGAATTAGGACTGTCCCATATGAATTTGTTCTCCCTTCTCTTGCAGGTTCATGCTGAATATTCTAGATTTGTGAATCAGATTAATACTGCTGTACCTTTACCAGGTGTGTATGTCTTAAAGCGTTTAAGAAAAAAATGTTTTGTTAGTGATATTTATGTATAAAGTAGGATGTTTAGGGCTAGACCGTGCCAGGGCACTAATAGCGTTCCCTTCGACTTAACGGTAATTTGGAAAGCCATTTGTCCCTCAGTATTTTTCTTCCCTAGAGATTTGAGTTAATATTCAGCTAAAATGTCTCATTTTGCTACAGCTGATTAAACACTTTTTTTCTTCCCCCTCAGGCTATACACAACCCTCTGCTATAAGTAGTGTCCCTCCTCAGCCACCATATTATCCATCCAATGGCTATCAGTCTGGTTACCCTGTTGTTCCCCCCCCTCAGCAGCCAGTTCAGCCTCCCTACGGAGCACCAAGCATAGTGCCCCCAGCTGTTTCGTTGGCACCTGGAGTCTTGCCAGCATTACCTACTGGAGTCCCACCTGTGCCGACACAGTACCCACTGACGCAAGTGCAGCCTCCGGCCGGCACTGGGCAGGTAGGACGCCAGGCGCGAGCCGGACCGCACTGACCTCGGGAGAGCTGCCCGGGCAGAGGGGCAGAGGTGGTGGTATCCTGCAGCAAGAAAGCGTGTCATTCCTGGGTAACGCGAGGGCTTTTGTTCCTGTTTCTCTGGTGTTACCGCCCCCAAGCTATACCCGAATGCTCTAGAGCAGCGTGTACACGTGTGTGTGCATTCCGAAGTCTCCAGTTCCACGTCATGAGTCTTTCCACCAAGTAGTTGTTTAAAAGAGGAGTTGGGAAGCTTGCTCTGGAGTGCCAGGTGGCAGATAGGTTAGACTCTGCGGGCCATGCAGGCTCTGTCACACCCGCTGCCCTCTGTCGCTGGGGGGGTGGCACAGAAGCAGCCCGGGACGATGCGGAATGACTGCGCATGGCGGGGCCCTGAGAACACGATTTTCCTGAAGTGGGTGACGAGCCACAGTCGCGGTTTGCCGTGCTGTGGGCCATCGCTCACCTGCCCCTGCCTCAAGGAGAAGGGGGCCGGCCTACCTGTCTCTCCATGATTGGAACTGAGTCACTAGTCTTCAGAAGAAATGCACCATATGCAGGGGTTCTGGGCCGAGGGGTACGCGAACGTTGCCAACTTAAGGATTATAAATATTCTTGTATATTTCTGAAGCTACATAAGAAACTAGGATTTTAGGAAAGGGTAGGTAGCTAGCTCATCCAGATGGATGATGTACACCCCTTCTCTGAGGTAGGGGAGAAGCTAGTGAGTGCAGGGAGATGGACTGATGGTGGGCCCTTCTCTGTGGGCCTCTCACAGTGTACCCGTGTGAGAGGGGCACGCAGCCCTGCACCATGGCCCTGCTCCCGACTGGTGGACTGGGAGCACTGAAGGGGGCTGTATGGTGTGAAACAGAAGACTTCCCTAAATTCTGGTTGTGACCCCTGGTCCTGATTACTTACCTTGTGTGTTTGGCAGAGCCGCAGGTCGCCAGCTCTGAGCCACGTTGCTTTGTGACCAGAGAGGAGTATGACCGAGTTGGCCCTTTAGGGTTGGGCTTTAGACATAGGCTGCCAGGGTTCCTCGTGCTTTCCTGTGATTGAGCTGTGCGATCCTGGGATGTGACTTAGCCCATCCAGGCTTTGGTTTCCTTCTAGAAAATGGGCATAACGGGAGTATTTCAGAGGTTGCAAAGATTAAGTGAGATGACCCAAGCATTCAACAGGTATTAGCCATTTGTTTAATAATAAGAGTTGTCCTTTGAGAAGTGCTTGTTTTCTCTGATACATCCTGGATCAGTCCTTATTCCTTTCTGGAACAATCTCTTACAACATTGGACAGACTCCCTCTTGCTGTAACAGCTTATCCCTAGAAGCGGCAGATGAACTTGCCTTTGCCACAATCGTTAGCAGCCTTTATAATCCAGAAAGAGCTCATCACATTGTTTAGAGGGGTCTAAATTGGAGAATGTTCTTGCTTGATAACTTCTGAAGTAAGTAAGTGGCTGGGATTTATATTTGTTGGTCATGTTTGCCCAAGTGCGCAGCAGGTTTTTCCTGAGAGTTTCAAAGCACTGGAGACAAGCGGGGAGGGCTAGGCTCTGCTGACACCAAATGATCCGGGAGGGAAGCTAAGGACCAGAGGTACGGGATTTCTAGGATGCACATGGGTTATTCAAGTCTGCTGTGTTACTGTTTTCCTTCTTAAGTGGCTGGACGTTCTCACACTTTTCCCCCCGGTTTGTTTTGGTCCCAGAGTCCGATGAGTGGGCCTTTTCTTCCTGCTGCTCCTGTCAGAACTGCCTTGCCTGCCGGCCCCCAGCCCCAGCCCCCGCCCCCGCCCCCGCCCCCACTCCCAGCTCAACCCCAGGCACAGAAGAGGCGATTCACTGAGGAGCTGCCAGATGAACGAGAATCTGGACTTCTTGGATACCAGGTTAAATAAAATACCCTTCCTTTCCTCATCTCATCTTGACTATATTCTCCCTTTAAAGAAAGATAAATGCACACCTATATTAACCATTCTCCCAGTACTAGATTTTTCTTTTCTGGAATCCATTTAGATTAGGTTTTTTTCCTTTGGGGGATTAGTTTAAAGCAAGAGTGACTCCCTTTGGGTGGGCTGGTGTTTGGGATCAGGATAAGAAAATACAAAGCTCCACGTGGAGAGAGGTCGAGAGGTCTATGACTCGTACCTAGAAGGAGTTCTGTAGAATTCCGCACTTCCTCTTATACAGCACTCCTGAAAGCCTGATAGTTCTCACTTTCGTTCTACCTACAGTATATGGTCTGTACTTTAACCTTGGCTCTCAATTTACTGTTCTTTTTCTGCGTAAAAGAGAGCAGTTACTTTCTCCAGTCCCCACCACCCACAACAAAAGATGGGCAAAAATGTAGTGATTCTGTTCATACTCGGTATACAAGTAGGCATTCAAGTAAAGAGTTTTTTAAAATATCTAAATGTGAAGTTTTAAAATAAAGAAATGTGTAGTTTTGGTGCCATTTTTGTTTTATCAGGAGAAGCACCTTTACTTTTTGCCAGAGCCCTTGAAATGTTCTTTGAAACAAACTCTGAAGCGTTTTTATAGTTTATAAGAGGATAGTTGAAAACAGATGCACGTAGCATGACCAAGTCCTACAGAGAAAGATCACGTCTCCTGCGGCTGTGGTTATGTTCCAAACCCCAGAGGGCTATGTAGTGAGCTTACTGCAACTGACCAGAAAGAGGCGAGGCACTTGACAGTTACATTAAGGAGCTGAAGTCAATGCAGCAGTTGTAGATTTGCTAATGCCACTGTATTTTTCTGCTCATAGCATGGACCCATTCATATGACTAATTTAGGTACAGGCTTCTCCAGTCAGAATGAGATTGAAGGTGCAGGATCGAAGCCGGCAAGTTCCTCAGGCAAAGAGCGAGAGAGGGACAGGTAAGTTAGTTGGAGCGTAATTACATGAATGTATTCAGATGTCATCGGTTTACACCGTTAGTGTGAATGACGATCATTGCTATGAGCTTCCGTGTTCTAAAACTGTAATGAAGGGGCACCTGGGTGGCTCAGTCTGTTGAGCATCCGACTCTTGATCTCAGTCCGGGTCTTGATCTCAGGGTCGTGAGTTCACTCCTCACATTGGACTGCATGCTGGGTGTGGAACCTACATTTAAAAAAAATAATGGATAAATCAAAGTGTAATGAAATCCTTTGGCTGAAATAAACTTTTTTTTTTTTTTTTTTTTATAATAACTGCTGCACTAGGCTGCCCCTTTCATAGTCGAGAGGCAGTTACCCTGGGCTTTGAGTCATTCCGTTCTTGCTTATCAGGCATCTTCCTCTACTTCATTGTCCGCATCTTGGCCATTTTCCTGAGCGTAGGCAGTGACTGAAGTCTTACACAAGCTGTATTTACTACTTAGAATCCTAGAATATTGGGGCTCCTAGGTGGCTCAGTCGGTTGAACATCTGCCTTCGGCTCAGGTCATGATCCTAGAGTCCTGGGATCGAGCCCTACATCAGGCTCCCTGCTCAGCGGGGAGTCTGCTGCTTCCTCGTCCTCTGCCCCTCTCCTCCCGGCCCGTGTTCTCTCTCTCTGTCTCAAGTAAATGTTTATTAAAAAAAAAAAAGAATTCTAGAATATTATCCTAGAATATTATGGACTAAGGTACTTGAACGGGGGGTCTAGCTGCCATCCCTCTTCTGTGTGGTTCTTTGAGCCTTCCTAGGATGGGACTAGCCTCCCATAGCAGTGTTCTACTTTTGGCCTGGCCGGGCTAGCAGCTTGGCACCTTACAACCTGCTAGTAGCTCGAAGCGGGGCTTAGGTGGAAAGGGTGGAGGTGAACGGTTGACTGTCCGCTGGAGAAGGTACAATTGATTGAATCTGTCTGAAAGGCTGTCATGGTTTTTCTTCTAACAGGCAGTTGATGCCTCCACCAGCCTTCCCAGTGACTGGAATGAAAGCAGAGTCTGATGACAGGAATGGGTCTGGGGCCGGAGCAGGGGGCCACGGTGAGTGACGTGGAGCTGGGGCCACGAGGGCAGCTAAGACTGGTCCTAAGTTACTAGTTTTCTGACCTGAGGTTCATTCAGGTGGCACTCAGTCAGCTGTTTAATCTAACTTCTAAAATCTACAGGCTAAGGAGGATACCTTTTTTTTTTTTTTAAGAAGGCAGCATATAGTTACATGCGCTTTTATTTTCAATCGAAGTGTGTCTAAAAAAGTTAGTCAACTTACATTTTATACATAGCATCATTCAAACCCTAGGAAATATTAATGATTGGTAGGTCGTTTCAAAATTTTGTTGCCTTTGTTGTCTGAATACCTGGAGGTAATCTGATAGAGACTTAAGGGTTGATATTTCGGGATGCCTGGCTGGCTCAGTCGGTGGAGCATTCAACTCTTGATCTCGGGTCATGAGTTCAAGCCCCATGTTGGGCGTAGAGCCTACTTTAAAAAAAGATTGATTTTTCTTTGTACTGGGAGCTGAGCTGCATCTCTCTGCCTAGTTCTTTTGGTTATGAATGGTCAGCCTGTGGCTGTTAAAAAAGTGTTGCCTCCTAGTATCCCAGAATTTAGAGGAATATGGGATCACTTGTGTTCTTTGCCTGTAGTCCTAATAAAAATGAACAGAAGAAAATACATTTTTTTCTTTTCTTAACTTCTTTTCTTTTAACTCTTTAAAAGGTGAAATATCAGTCTCCAGAGACTCACTTGCTAACTTTCCTTTTTTTTCTTTTTTCTTTTTTTTTTTTTTTTTGTGTTTCTTTTTTCTTTCTCTGTTTTCTTACATGGTTCTGGTGGATTCACATTTGCTGATGCTGGTGCTGTTTTTCGTGTGATCTTCAACGTTTTTGGGTGACCATTGACCCTGTGACCTCAAAATGGTGTCCAACTAACCACTTACAATTAACATCTTTTTTTTATTAACGAATTTATGGTATTATTTTTTTTTTTTTTTTTTTTTGTCTTGGTGGGGGTTGGGGTTGGGGTTGTTTTTCTCTATTCTAGATTATCCAGTCAAGAAGATGAAAACTGCAGAGAAGGGATTCGGGTTGGTGGCTTATGCTGCAGATTCATCTGATGAAGAGGAGGAGCACGGGGGTCATAAAAATGCAAGTAGTTTTCCACAGGGCTGGAGTTTGGGGTATCAGTACCCTTCATCACAACCACGAGCTAAACAGCAGATGCCATTCTGGATGGCCCCGTAGAAACAGTGGAACAGAGCTTTGACCCTCGGTGACTCTTTAGCAATAATGCATGCATTTGATTTAATAAGACTCTGGGGCCTATACTGGGAACCATCATGGACCTTTGCAGAAGTTAGAGATGCAATGTCCCCTCTCTTAAAGGGGCTTCATTCTTTTTTAAACATCCTTGTTTCTGCAGTGGCATAGTATCTGTTAAAATTTACTTAGAATCACAAATTTGTCTCAGAAGCTTTTTAACAGTTGGTGAAATGTGCTTGTTCAACAGAGCATCCCAGCAGGGTCATTCCAGTATACATTTGACCTGTCCAGCCTTTTCCACATGAATGGCCACTATTCTGACAAAAAGAAAGTGTTATTTGTATTTTACTACTGTTTGGTCAATTTTGCTGACAACTGGTCACAAAGCCTTACTAATTATTAGTGGGGAGTTGATTTTAAGACCATCCTTCCCTTTCAGCACCTTTAAATCTAAGAACAGTTCATCCCTATTTCATTTTTGCATTCTTTTCTGTTCTGGAAAATGCAGTTTTACTAATTTAAAGCTGTTGGATATAGCTGGATCCTGACTAGGAAAATGAAGGTGTTTTTGGTTTTTTTCTTCATTGTGTCTTTTTATTGGGATGATGCAAAGCTGGCACCTTCAGGCACTCTTGTCCCAGAAAGCCATTGCAGCTTTTATTGCCCTTCTAATAAGCTCCATGTCTT